AGAAAGCACTGAACCAAGCAAGTAAATGTAAATTGTATGAAATATCCTTGAGAGTGCAAAAGAAAGGAATGATTGTTAGACTAATGCCATAATTGGAATATAAACAATTTGTATGTCTTTATTAAACATACCAGTGAAACTATTTGATTTTTCATCTCGACAAATGGATTTCTTTCAGTGTATCTGTTAATCGTTATCTCACCTTAAGAAAAAACGTTTCGGACCACCAACTCGGGAGCCATGTGTTAATAATTGTCGCTCGAACGATACAGATTACCTTACATAGTTTATATAAACGGAAAATTTATTTTCACCGAAACTTATACCTTAATTTTCCTCGAAATTAAATTAAATTTTTACCTTCTACTGAAGTTTTGCTGAAATTTTACTGAAGATAAAGAACAATTTGATATAGAGTCATCAAATTACTGCCTTTAAGGAATAATTTAAGACTAGGCCTAATTTCTCTAAAGTAGTTTAAGCCCAAAGCATAAGGATCTGAATCTAAACTAGATAAACATAAGTGATAAGCCACAACAATATAACAGAAATTCATAACATTAACTTTAAGAATATCGTCCAAAAACTTGAAATTCCAACACAAAATATTCTAAAATTAGAAGACCACAGCATAAAGTTTATCATACTTTATAAAACAATTAGGTGCAACAATATCTTCAATCTATTTTCATTTGACCTCTTGTAGCCAAAAAACGGCAAAACAGTGTTTTTTTTGAACATTTTGAAATTTACATAACTCATTTCAGTAAATAAACTATCAAATTAATCTAGGTCTGTAGGGATAAGGTCTTAGTAGAAACCGCTGCTTAATAAGCGACTTGGCTATTTCACTGTAAGCTCAAAAGCCTTACAGATTGCTTGCAGTATAATGCTATGGGTAATGCAGTGATGTTTACTGCACACTTCCCACTAATCTACAACAATTATCATCTAATTAATGGGATACTCATCAGTTTTTATGGTGCTTCAATTTTTTTTTTTTGATAAGTGTATAATACAATTTATTTTTAGTAGATTTTAATAATTTGTTTTTAAATTTCTCAAAAATATTTACAGATCGTCCAAAATTCTGATTTTCATTTTTTGATAACTATATTGATAATTAATAATTATAAATAACCAATTAGATGATTTTCAACCGACTTCAAAAAGGAGGAGGTTCTCAATTCGACTGTATTTTTTTTTATGTTTGTTACCTCAGAACTTCGTCATTTATTAACCGATTTGGACAATTTTTATGTTGTTTGAAAGTGTGTGTTGTTTGCTTTGTATGGGCTGGCACCGATTTTGAAAATATTTGATTAGGTATGTATTTAATAGGTAGGCTTTAATTACTTAGCCAAAGCACACCGACTTCGAAAATATTTGATTAGGTATGTATAGTAAATGAAAACTACCAATCAGTTATTTTTTACTTTTTAGTGTTTTTGTTTGAAGTCGGTTTTTATTTTTTTGTTATTTTATAAATAAAATAAATGTACCAACAATTTCTTACACGTGAGAAGTAAGAAATAAGCTAATTTTCTCTTCGCATTCCTTAAAATAACATACAATAATAAGAATTTTTCTTTTAAAAAAGAATACTTTGATAACATCGTCCAATTCAACTAACCGTAAATCTTGTTCAACGAGTGGATACAAAGTAGCCTTGGGGTTCAAAAGCCGGTCCTGCTATCCTTTGTTTATTAAAATAACTTCTGATTTCAAATTTTTATACCATAATGGAAAGATAAAAGGGAAAAGATCAGATATATATAACAAAATAAAAATTGTCTTAACATTTAATGAGCATTTATCTTTTGAGTGGATTCACTTATGAAGTATAATTATAATGCAAATTTTGTAGTTAGAGTGTAATAAAGGGCAACTTAGATCGTATTTATTTACTGTAAGAACTTGGAAGATATTAATTGCTTCATCTATATAATATTATAAATGTGAAAGTTTGTGAGTATGGATGTTTGTTACTCTTTCGCGCTAGAACGGTTGAACAGATCTGGATGAAATTTGGCTCAGAGATAGGTTATAGGTATAGGATAGGTCTGGAATAACACATAGGCTACTTTTTATTTCCGAAAAATGTACGGTTCCCGTGGGATAGGTTTGTTTTTGTTTTTCTAGTTTTATATTAATTTTTAAAAATCTTAATCCTGAAATTCCAAAATATTAACAAAATCAATATAGTTACAATACAGATATAGTACCAATATTTTGTTTATGTAATCAAAACAAACATACACACAAATAGAACTCTTTTCTAGTATGTAGTTACGTGTAACTTCCGAGATTTTAAGGATGACCACTGTTCCATTTGTGTACATTCCATTTTCATCTAGAGAGTAAGATATATTTCATTACAATAGGACGTCTGGGAGACCAGTTATAAAGTAAAATGTACTTAAGTTGTTTGTGGAGATTAATTTTGGTACAGAAATTTTATGCTAAGAAATGTTGCTTTTGGTAGCTAGTTGTAGTTTCAACATTTTAAGTTTATAATAATTTTATAAGTCTATAAACTTTCATGGTCACTGACAATATTTGTTTTTTGATGTAAAAATAGATACTTAGCACGTGTTTCACTTACTTCAATGAGTTTTCGATATTTGTTATTAACTCCAATATTACTTAGAAATAGGTTTGATAATATACTTTGAAAATTAGAGATTGTCGTCATAAAATTAGATAATTTAAAGAATGTCACACTACTTCTTTGTTAGTCATTCATAGATTTTAAGCTTTTAATCACAAGGTGTAATAAGAATATATTATGTCCTAGCGATTCAACCTCGCTACGCTCGGGTTCGTTCCTAGGTTAATTCCTCATAAAAACTTTTATTACCATTTTCACCCCCTTAAGGGAAGATTTACGGAATATAAAATATCTTATGTCTTTCCCAGGATTTCGAACTATCTTTTTACCACATTTCATCTAAATCAGCCTAGTTGTTTTTGAATTTATTCGTTACAAACATACAAAAAAACAAATCTTTCCTCTTTATAATAGGAGAGTAGATACACGAATATAAAAAATATAAAAAATGACGTCAATTATATAATATAAAAGATATAAAATATAAAAATCTTTATAAGTTTGCATCAAAAAAGAAAGATGAAAAAAATATCAACATAAGATATTAACATATAAGATGCACTATATTTAATATTACATACAACTGATATTCGGTACGCTAAGTAGCGTACCCCGAGATATGGGACGACACTCACGAGGTCCTGAATAATACATGAACACCCCGCGATTTATACCACAGCACACCGGTGAATTGTGACGTTAGCGAAATTAATGATTATGAAACGTTGGCATTTACATAAACTAACACGTCATACTTGTTTGGAGGAATGTCACAGAAATGTGGACGAATGTACATAGCTTGCTGTATAATAGACTAAATAAATGTTTTATCTATACATATAATAAAATTGTAAAAAAAACTAAGGTGAATCTGTAAATTGAATATTTTTTGGAAAATCTTATTGAAATAGACATTATTATCGATACAGAGTCCGAATCTATAGTTAGAGAAAACCACTGGTCTGATTTTGATGAAATTTGGTATGATGATAGCTGCTTATCCGGGTCAACATATAGGATACTTTTTACCGCGGAAAAATATCTCATTTCTGAGAAAAAATACAAAAACTGCAATGTAAGAGTATACTAATATGTACAACCTAAGAATTTGGTTTTTGGTCACCTGAGTACGGGCGAAGCCGCGGGCATTGCTAGTTAAAATATAAATAACTAGCATTGTATATTAAAACGGGATATTTGCCATGTTTAACACTTACTTTTGAGAGTTACTGATATTTCGACGTTGTTACAAACACCATGGTCAAAGGAAAAAACTCTGGTTTATCAAAACTAAGTGTTAAATATGGTAAAAGTCCCATTTTACATCATAATAATATTGTCAGTGACCATGAAAGTTTAAAGACTCATATAGCATATTATTCTGTTCATGAACCATTCGGGACTGAAAATGTGTGGGTAAATTAAGGAAAGATAACTATTCAAGTTAGCTATACAGATGTGTTAAAACACTGTACTTGACAGTTGAATTTATCAATCTATACAAATTACAAATCTATTCGATGCGATATTAATGAACTAAATTGTGCCCAACTGGCACTCTTAGAAGCCACGAAATAAACAAATTGAATTGAATTATTAATATATTCTAATATTATATAAAGAGGAAAATTTTTTTTCTTTGTTTGTTTGTACCAAATAAGCTCCGAAACTACTGAACTGATTAAGATGAAATTTGGTAAGAAGATAGTTTTAGACTTTGGAAAGGACATAGGATAATTTTTATCCCGGAAATCATGCCTTTAGGGGTGAAAATGGGGATGATAGTTTATTTGGGAAAGCAACCTAGGGACGAACCCGAGCGAAGTGAAGGTATGTCGCTAGTGTTAAGTGAATCGAAAAGTAAATTGTTTAATTTTTGTGTAGTATTTAAATAAATAAAATAAATAAAAAAGTATTTATTGCCATAATAAGAATTAAAAAAATATTTCTAAACAGAACTCTATTCTAAGGTGAAGGTAGCTTTATTTTCTGACAACACTAGAGTAATTAGTCTCTAATTAAGTGTGCGTTGAAATTATATTCAAGTTTGAATTTGAAATCCTTTTACATCTTTCATCATACATATAACACGTATATAATCCCAAGTCTTATAATACCTATGAAATTATATGTAATTAACTGTTAAAAATACGACGTTAGAAAAAAATTTAAAAAGCACCCATTATAAAAAGAATCTGTTTAATTAGTTGTTTCTCTTTTTTTATATAAAACCGTAAACATAAAGCTCTGGTCTATTTTCATGTTTGTAGCAGTTATTTTGTAATTAACTATAAATTTCAGTCAAATAATAGAAAAAAATGCTATTTTACTGGTAATTTTTTGGTAGTTTACTTATTTTGAGATATTTTTAGACTTATAATATTCTGACCTCATTTGTGTTCCATCGATGCCTTTGCGCAGCGAAATGTTCCGCCCGTGGAAGGCTCTCCAAGTTCTCTGGTAGTTTGATAGGTTCGCCATCTGAAAGAACAAAATTTATTTATTTATATAAAGTTTTTCTTTCCATTATGTGAATATAAATTAAACTTACGAAGCTTCCACTAGAGCTTTCAATTTACAAATAAGTTTTTGTTTCTATGTAATATTTCATATTATAGCTGATTTTTATGTTTTATGACCTTATCATGAAGGATCTTATGCATTCTAATATCGTCATTATAATGAAAAATAAGGTAATAATATATTGATAATAAATAATAGTATTATGTTATTTTTATTTACCCCACAGGATATACTGTTAATTTATATGTGATCCTACTTGCTGTGCCAGCGGTCGCGGGTTTGTGTCCCGGCTGGGGGTATTCATTTGTGTGTAGAACACGAATGTTAATACTCCAGTCAGGGGTGTTCATATTTATAATATGTATGTATTTAAAATTATATGTATATGTGTAGTGTACCAACTATCTGGTATCTATAACACAGACCTCATAGCTTACCATGGAACTAGAAGGTGCTGTGTGGTAATGTCCCAACATATTTATATTTATTTATTTATATTAGATGCCAACAAATAGAAATATTCTTTAACTAGCGAAGTTTTACAGCTAGTAATACTAAGTGCTATAAAACTTTTGAAGTGCTAATTTCGTTTTTACTTTAAAGTTTGGTATTTTGCATTATAATCTGCGCTCATCAAAAATATTATATATATGATATAACATTCAGCATACAAAACGATGTGTTTAAGAACAATTTGCTTGAGAGATTTGAACAAATCACCAAAGTCAAACGACGTCCGTAACAACATAAATTCGGATGGGTAACCACTTAATGGCACAACGAGTGCGTGTTTCCATTCTTCAAAGGTTAAAATAAGCCCCGATAGTTATTGATAGCAGTCGCTTAACCATATCTGAAGCCTTAGTTTGCTCAGACAAATTGGCTGAGAATTGTTACTGTTGCGTAGTTGACAATGTATAACTTCAACACAGGTAAATACCACACCAAGCTTAGAAGACGTCAAGAGAGTTATCAAACTATGACAATGCTTGACAAGAATATTTAATGGTAAATTACTGAGTGGGAATAAAAGTGAACACTTTCCAGAAAGAATTTTAGCATTTCTAAAACGTTTTCGAACTGTGGGAGCAGTGTGTTAAATGATAAGTTTCGTTTTGAACTCAAGCAATGACTTAGAAAAATTATGAAGAAGAAAAATTAAGTAAAGTAGAACGAATTTATAGAGCAGTAGTGGTCAAAAATATTGATCAGTGGCTAAATTATGTATGGAAAGTACTTAAATTAACTCAGTCTTTGTTAAAGCTATAGTATACCTAGAAACCCCGAAACCTACTTTGTACCAATATGTACTACAAATTAAACTTAAATATGGTGTTCAAGTCTCCAAAAATATATTTGTACATATTATAAATTGCTAATTCTATTCGCTCAAACTCTGCACCCAATACAAACTTTAAAATATATAATATAAAACTCAAAAAATTAACTAAACGAGCATAAAATGTCGTTTCCCACCAGACAGCTATCTCTGTGCCATCAGTAAACTGTTGCTGTATTAATGCTACTTAGAAGAAAGATGAATCAAAAAAATACATATCTATAATAAAAAAAAGTAAGTGTTTAATTGAGTATTGCGTAATGAAAAAGCGTGAAAGCATCCACATTTAACCATTTATTACCAAGAAAAAACTGTCTGAATATTCACCAACAAAAACCAAGAAAAAGTAAAATAAATAAGAAACTTCGCCATATTATCCGCTTCGTGAAAGTAAAACATTCATTTTATCTGAATCCTTTTTTTATGTCCTCTTAAAAAGATTTTAGTATAGAAACGTGTTCAATTCCACTTTAGGTAGATACATGGTCAACAGTCCATAAATTATGCAGAGAAGGCGAGAGAGCAAAACCACATCGTAAATATACGGACTCTATTTTGCAAAAAATTCTACGCGGAAGCAGGATTACCCTGCTGGACAAAAAGTAAAAATGTGTCTTACACGTTATCCACTAACAACGATTGGACAAAATTAGTGGGTGCTCAAGCAAAAGCTTAAGTTGCGAAATTTCTTCCCTCGTACGCTTCGGTGAAATCTATTTAACGTTTCTAAACTTAAAAATAGTGGAAAATCGGCTCAATCTCCTGGATATAAGGACTAGACTGTCCCTGGATGAGCGCACCTAAATTGGCAACCCCGTATACCGGACGGCGACGGAATTTCAACAAGTTGGACCGTTGCTCGGGAATTGCATTTATAAATTGTGCAGTCGATTTCTCGTTATTACGATGAGCATAAGGTTTATTTTTGTATGTTTCTATGTACTGTTTGGCATGCTTAAGCCTCTACGCCGGCAGTGCAGACATTCTTGACGAATGTTGCCAAAAACCGGGCAGTTTTCACCTCGTTCCTGCTCGGTTTATTGTTTTACCGGTACCTTGACAAATCCTGCGTTAATATGAAAGGGAGGTTGAATATTCATCTCCTGTTCAAAAATTTTGGCTATCACTTCCGTGTATTGGTCTAATGATGAAATAATTGAGAGACCTCATTATTAGTGCCATTTGGCAACTTGCACCGTGTACCTACATGCTTTTAAGGAAGTTATCTCAGTGACCTTTTAGAAAAATATTTAGAAACAAATATTTTATATATTTTAATAGATTTTTCAAGGATAAGATTTTGGGTGAAAGTATAATATTTTTTTATAAAACTATAGATCATATTAATTAAGTATGTATAGGTCATATAACTACATGCAACCGTTTTTATTTATAATACTAGCATGGCTCGCGGCTTCGCACGCGTTTAGATGACCAAAAACTAAATTCTTAGGTTTTACATATTAGTATACTCTTACATTGCAGTTTTTGTATTTTTTCTCAAAAATAAGATATTTTCCCGCAATAAAAAGTAACCTATATGTTGACCCTGATAGCCAGCTATTATCATACCAAATTTCATCAAAATCCCTTCAGTGGTTTTTCTGTGATGCGGTAACAGACAGACAGACAAAAATTCTAAAAACTATAGATTCAGCCTCTGTTTCGATAATAATTAATAATGTTTATTTCAATAAGATTTTCCAAAAAATATCTAATGTACAGATTCGGCTTCGTTACAATTTTATTATATGTATAGATATAAAGTACGACCGATTTACCCTTTAATTTATGGATGAACTAGGCGCAAAGCAGCATCGCACGTGTTACTCGAGTCTATCTATATTCTAAATTTCATCCAAATCCATCCAATTTCATCCAAATCGGAACCATAAAGAAGTAACAAAAGTACACACATACAAACTTTCGATCAAAAGGTAGTGTAATTAACTTCTGAAAACTTTCTAACCTCATTAATGCTGTAAAAAAACAAAGTTTAAAGCGCCATAATAATAATTATTTCAAATCAATACATTTGACCGACGCTGCTAAACGAGAAGAGGGATGAAAAGGAAATAGGGTAAAAAAAGCAAAAGGGGGATGAAGCGGCTTGACGAGCGTTCCATAGGGGCGTATGAGGACACTGGCTATTGTTCCGGCATTGACATTATAAATAGATTGATGTTATTTTAACGCTATATAAAAAAAGATATTAATTAAAACCTGACTTAGTCATTGGTTCGATTCTCATACATTTTTTTGATGTTAAAGCACTTTTACTTCTTTAATAACTATATTAAAATGAACATTTTATGTTATTGGTCGACTTCAAAAATGAAGATATATTCAGTTTGGAGATATTATTTATAACTAGACCAATTTTGAACCGATTTTCGTATAACCTAATATCAATTTTACGGTAAAATTTCATCCTTGATAATGAGAATGAAATAATATATTATATTAATAAGATATTATAAGTTTAGTTAATCAAATAGTAAGTAATTAACTACGGTACCTAAGCGTGAAGATTAGTTTTATATCAATAAATTATGTATTACATTTTGAAGAAATCACCTAGGTAATACAATTATATATATGAAAATGCACTGCGCTTTCCGTCTATCTGAATGCTTATTTGACTTCTTTATTTGACCAGTACAAAGTGTTGACATAAAGTGATTTTTTTTCTTAAATTTAAATAAAATATAAGCAAAATATAAAGATTTCGACAACAACAACAACAACAAAAAACTAAATAGGTCATATGAAATTCGATTATTTGGTTTGAGTAGTTAATATTTAAACCAAAGTATGTAAAATATCTTCCGATTAAACACAGCAAAAGCCATTTTCATACTTCATGTAGGTAGACTTAAATATGATCAAAAAATATATTTTTGTTTATGAATTTTATATGTAAATCATAAAATTAAATAACAAATGAACTTCCAATAGCAAGCTCTTCTTCTAGTAATAAAGAAAAGGATGTAGAGACTACTTGGAATAAAGTAGAGCATCGTATAAGTACGAGTACGTTCTTTCAGCCTAATTCGTATAAAAGGTATGATAAACTTAAGGTGTGTGTGTGTGTGTGTGTGATGAGCACGAATGTGTATACTCTAGACATGGGTGTTTATATTTATAATATGTATATATTTAAAAGTTATATATGTGTAGTGTATCAACTATCTGGTATTCATTACACAAGCCTCTTAGCTTACTATGGAACAAGATGGTGCTGTGTGTTAATGTCCCAACATATTTACATAGGTATGATGAGTTGTTGTGGGTTGCTTTATAACATGTTTTAACATCGCTCTATGATGAATGTAGTGGGTCTCATTAACGATGATACTTACAAATTTTTATTATAAAGTATATTTTCATGTAATGATATTTTCTAGGCTCGTCCTCGCAGATTCCAGTACATAGTAGCATAATGAGATCTACTTTGTTTATAGGCTACTAGCATTGCCCGCGGCTCCGCCCGCGTACAGATGACCAAAAACCAAATTCTTAGGTTTTACATATAAGTATTCTCTTACATTGCAGTTTATGTATTTTTTCTCAGAAATGAGACATTTTCCCGCGATAAAAAGTATTCTATATGTTGACC